CTTTGTAACTAAAATAACGACATAAAAAAATTCGTAACATAACCACTATCATCCATCTTGAAATCTTCACTTTCTAAATATCATTATATTCAATTCAACCATTGTATTATGGATGGAATACGATCAAATTTGAGTTAAGGAAGAACAAAATAGTCAAAAAATTATTGACAGCAGATCGTCGGTGATAAAAAAGAAATCAATCATAGCTGTATTCGATTTTTTTATTTATCGACAGCGGTTCAATAATGTTTTTACAAAATCGATAACAATATTGGGAAAGAGCCAACTGCTGCAAAAGAAATCAAAAACAAGAACACTAAAACTCATTTCTTATTATTATTAAAAAAAAATCAAATGATCAACAACAGAAAGATATTACACAATCAATCATTATCGCTGCGAATGACTGCCACGTTTCTGCAAACATTAAACATAAATCTTTTTACAATTTTCAACCTTTTCAATGAGAATCTTTTTACTCTTTTACAGCTACAGAAGCTGTAATTTTTATTTAGCACAGTTTTCATCAATTCTTTTCCTTAATCTCTCTCTCTCTCTCTATCTCTATCTCTATCTCTATCTCTCTCTCTCTATCTCTTTTTGCCAAAACGTACGCGATAATTGTGCTTTCACTTATTTAATTACTGCTGCCATTCTTTTCTCACCATTAACTGCATGCTTTTCCACGTAAAATTCCAACAAATAAGTTAGTGTATTAAAAAAAGTATTTGAAATTGACAATTTTACATGCAAATCAAATAATCTGAAAGTTTTCCCACACAATTTCTATATCATTTTGGAAGTTTTTTCAACCTCACAACGCACCATTACCAATTAATTACTAATTATTATTGTCACTATTAACTATTTTACAACGCAGTATATTTGTGTGCACAGTTGCAACATAGTAATGCTCTCGCCCCGTTGATTATCTTAATTACACTTAAGTGCCACTAGGATATTTATTATTTATTGATAATAATAACGAATGAAAAACAAACAATAAAGATTGAGAAGTTTAGATTAAAAGTAAATGACAATAACAATTATTATCACTAGCTGTATAGCAGCAATGAACACTCATACCTTTGTATCACTTTTCACAACTTTATTTCCTTCAATTCTCACAAATTTGAATCGAAAGTCAACATTTCAATATTTTAAATTATTTCATCTTTAACTTTCGACCTTTTTATGTGTAAATTGAACGTAGCAAAAAATTGAAACATCTGAGATAAAAAAGGCAATAATTACGAATAAAGAATAAACAAAAATCGCGGTATCGTACCTCTCTTAACAAAATTTACTCTCGGTGAAATGAATGAGCTGTTTCAGCGAACCCTCCGCACCATTTCATTATTAAAAAATGATATTCAGATGGGGAAGTTTCATGAGCTATCAGCAGAACGTACTCGGAGGCTATTATTTGCATTTTCGATTATGTAATCTATCGCAGATATACATATATATAACAGTTTGAGAGATATGAATTACCGATTCTGCTTCAAGCAAAGGATATTATGATTTAAAAAATCTTTCAGTTGTTAGCGCTGCATACATTAAAAAAAATCTCAATATTTATTTCACTTCAAAATATAGTTACTTCCATAAATATTGCAAGATTATTTCGGGCTTATTTCAGCTTCTTCTTGATACGCAAATCATTTGAATGTCCACACTTCTTTTTACGGCAATTCGTAGCACGCGGTGGTAAACGAGCGTAACACTAAAAATACATTGATTTGAAATTGATAAATTTTGCTAGAATTAAAAAGGTTAAAACTTTGGAAACATTCATAACTCAACATATACCTAATTTGACATATGGAAAGAAAAAGATGCCGAAGTAACTTTAAAAAAAAGAGCACAGGTTCGGAAAGCATGCCACTTAAAGTGAAAATCTACTTATTGACTTGAAGCGTAATGCAGAAATGTGATTTATGTCTTCAGAATCCAAATTCGAAACTAAATGTCTAGAAAAAAAATGAATCATGATCAAGATGTTGTAATTCAAAAATCATTAATGATCAAATTTTTTTCGAGCCCCCATAAAAGATATTCAATTACCGATCACTTCAATTTTCACAATGATCTCTTTTTCTAGTTTACTGACTTGATGACTTCCAAATGCAATATAAATGTAAGCTAGAATGTAACTTATAAGCTTGAAGAAACTTCAACTAAAAAATTGTCAAAAAATATACATGAAAGAGAAAAAATATTCGTTATTGTTCTACTAACTTTACGGCAAATTTGTTTCTCACAGTTGTACTTCTGAGCAAGCTGTCGAAGTGAAGGCTCAATGATACCACCACGAAGACGAAGGACCAAATGAAGTGTAGATTCTTTCTGGATATTGTAGTCTGAGAGAGTACGTCCGTCTTCCAGTTGTTTACCTGAAATTTGAATTTGTAACGTACCGAAGAAAACTCATTTAGCGCTAGAAATACCATATCCTAACATTTATATATATATTTTTCATATTTCAAGC